CCCGCCCCCCCCGCCACACCCCACTTCCAGCCCCGGGCCCGCTCCCTGCGCCTCACCAGGTCGTAGTCCTCCTCATCATCGCACATGAAATCATCCTCCATGTCAGACATCTTGGCCGGAGCGGGGGACGGGGGAGGAGAAATCAGAGACAGCCTCCTCCCACAGTCCTCCGCGGCCCAGAAGCGTCACTCCCGCTTCTCCTCGCCTTCCGGTCTCTCCTAGACAAAAATAAGCGCATTCCGGAACCAAGGTGCTCGACCTTGAGACGATCTAGTACGGCTCCCAAAGGGAGCGCACAGCTCGCTCTTCCTGCGCGACAGTTGATGCCTTAGCAACTAAGCGTAGCAACTGGGAAACCCGGCGCTGAGGGTCCTAGCTGAGGGGCTTCGGAAACCTTCTAGCAGCTTCCAGCGTCCTAGGTGAGGGAACTGTCTCCTTCCTTGCCTGGGACTCTGGAACCGTCTATTTCTAATGAAACATGCCGGTCCTATATGACAGGTAGCGTGCCTCTACCATTGTTATCTATGTGTTTTTATTCCAAAACTTGAGGTGGGTGTATTTATAGCAACACAATTTTCACGTAATGTTGTATTTGTAGTTGGCAAAAAAATCTGTGGATATCCCGATTTAGATATGTATCAATCAGTTATTCAATTATTTAATGAATCCCAAACTGCTTTCAGAATCAAATTGAAGCAGCAGTTGGTGACAGTTTTTTTTTTTTTAAATGCGTTGTACAAAAACCATTAGAGTTAAGAATGAAGAAAAAAGTTAAAGTAAGGCAAACCCTGATGGTTTTTTCCATAACCCTCCAAATTCTGTACATTTCACAAATGCCATATATTATAAAATAGATATAATTTTAGGATTTCAGTCCAATTGTGTCTCTAAACAAATCAGATACACATGCCCAAATCTCCGGGGGGTAAAAACCTTTTATCTTGATCTCGTATAGCTGATGTTGAGCACAGTTCAGCTTTAACATTCACGCCATTGTGTTGAATCCTTTAAGGCCCAGCTTGGCTGTGCTCCAGTGACTTCTGGAGTTGTGCCTGATGTTACCAGTTTTCATCAGAATCCATTGGGGAACAGGGTCATTTTGCTTTTGTTTCTAGGTCAGGAATTGCTTGGTTCCAAAAATCTTGTGAGAAGACACATTGAGAAATAGGCATGGCAATGGTTGTATTATTTCTATATTGAGCATACTGTGAACAAATTTATTGCTATATATTCAGAATGTTACAAAAATAAGTCTTTAAAGAATTTTGCTTTGAATATCATTAACACTGCTTTTTTTTTTTTGTATTTTTTGAGCTGAGGAGAGAACTAAGCATTGGTAGCCTGACAATTGTTTCTTAGGAAAATACTACAAGAAGGAATTTCAGACAGTTTAAAAAAATAGTCAAAGTAACATCTTTTTGGTCATAGTTTTTCTAACAATAATATCACCTTACCTGTAACCACATAGTTTTACTAATGGCCTTTTCCTCTCACTATTTTATCATGAGAAATTTCAAATGTAAAATACATTTGAAAGGATAGAATAGTGAACACAAATATACCATCTATCAGCCTTAATGTTGTGTAATTCCTGGGTCAACTGAAAGATGCATATAAAACAATACATTGCTCTTATGTACAGCTATGTGCATTTCCTAAAATTGAGGACATTGTCTTTTGCAAACAGAGCATAATAATTACACAATAGGCTAACAGTCCTCTGGTAGCATTTAATTTCCAGTCCTCTACTGAACATAAAAATTTAGTTTTGGAATGTCCTTTAATGATATCATCTTAGAAACAAAAACTTTCCAAAAATACTGCACCAATATGCACACGTAATTTTAAAACAAAGCAAAGATTTCCAATAAATGTGATGACTGACTGTACACCCAAGTTTATTTGGACAGGTCAGGCTCAGGTACTTCCGATTAGCATAGTAATTAATAGCACTCACCACTCTCAGAACAGGGCAATAAATCACAGTTACTCTACCCAAGCCTATACTTTTTCCAAATGGCCAGGTAGTTAAGAGTTTTATTCAGGTTAGTTTTTAAAATACAAAATGCTAGGGCTGTGATTATTTACCATGGTAGTTGTTTACATTTATAAAATGGCATGCTGATTTACAGTGCATTTATCTACATAGTTTACCATTTTTTATCTGTAATGCATTACTGGAATAATGAGAAAAGACTTGAGTGATTTGGTACCTAGAAATACAAAGGATGTATGTGTATGGGTGTGTTTGCTATATTTGTATGGGGTGTCTGTGTGGGATCAGAGGGTAACTTTGCAGTTGGTTATCTCTTCCCACCTTTACATGTTTCCAGGCTTTTGAGGCAAGAGCCTTTACCCACTGACCATCTCAGTGGTTCCAAAATAATTTTTAAAACAGCATTCATTGAGGTATAATTTAGCTATGTTATAGTGAGTTAAGCCACACAAACTTATCAGACATTTGGATAAATTTTGCCAAGTACTTATACCTATGAAATGATTGTCATAAGAACTTAGTGAGCTTATTAAACTAAAATGTTTCTTTACAGATTTCTTTCTGAAATTCTTTGATGATCTGTATCTTCTGCCCCTTATGTTTCTCTTAGGCCACCAGTGGTCTGTTATTCAACACTGTAGATGAGTTTACAATTTCAGGAACTTTATATGTAAGTTGAAATAAACATGATGCATTCTCATTTATCTGGCTTCTTTTATCCATTTTGCTTGCATCAGTTGGTTGTTAGAATTTATTGCTGTGTGTTCTGTTTTTGGATATCCCATAATTATTTTCCTTTTAATGGATATGTGAGGTTTTTCAACTTGTAGTTAATATAAATAAAATTGCCATGAACATTTGTGTGCAGGTTGTTGTGTAAGCATGTTTCAGTTCTCCCGAGTAATGTGGTAGACTGATTACAAGATGGCCTGTCATCCATGCCATTTGATAATTCTTTGTCCCGTGAGTGTGGGTAGGTTATGATTTGCTCCTAATCAAAATGATGGAGAGAAGTTGATAAACATTATTATATGTACATTATCACTGTAAACAAGATCAGGTCTGTCTTAGTAGCAGACATTGTGTCCCTTGCTGTCTTCAAGAAGCACAGTGCCGAAGCTGGTGTGATGGTTAAGCCATTGGCTGTTTGTTTTTCAAGACAGGGTTTCTCTGTGTAGTCCTGCAACTTTCTCTTTAGACCATGCTGGCCTCAAATTCAGAGATCTGCCTGCCTCTGCCTCCTGAGTGCTGGGATTAAAGGCATGCACCACCACTGCCTGGCTGGTTAAGCTTCCTTGTCAAATGGACAAAATCTGGAATCACCTAGATGTCAAGCATGTGGGTATACCTGTGAAGGGTTACCTATATTAGCCATGTGTTCTTGGGTGTGAATCCTTCCCCAGTTGAGACTCTTTAAATAGAAGACCTACCTAAGGCACAACCTGACTTTGGAGTAGCAGAAATGGTAAGAAAAGAAGAATGTATTGTTACATATTACTAAATTTGTGGTAATGATGTTATAAAGCAATGGATACAAACAAATAAATCCACAGGTGATGGTTGGGTCATACCAGAGGTGTATTTTCAACTTTGTAAGAAATTCCCAAACTGTTTTCCTGGGTAGTTTTTATCATTTAGCCTTCTAGTGTAATGTGCAAGAGTCCTACTTGTCTATCTCATCACCATTTAGTATGAGCTCACCTATTTCAATTTTAGCTGTTCTGTCAAGAGCATTGAGCATTTTAGTGGCTGTGGTTTGCATTTCCTTAAGGTGATGCTGCGTTTGCGTACGTTTCAGTTTTGTAACTGTATTTGACATTTAGCATTTGTTTTCAAGCACATTCACTGTCTATAAATTTTTGAATGTTACAATAATGCCATAAGTTACCAAAGTGTAGAGCTTGTGAATCCTCATCCTCATTACACTTTCTGGACAAATGGATATGGATATGATATGGAACATTTCTTATTCCTCTGGCCCTAATAGCTTTATTGAGACTGGTATCAATACACATATTCGGTGTGATCTCCTTCATGACAAATTTCAGGGTCTCTCTGAGTGCCCCAGGGGCACGATTCTTGAAACCTACTCTGTGGATGCATTTGTTGCTGAAGTCTCAGATCACCACCTCATTGATGGCATGCCTTCTCTTGTCACCACCTTTCTTTGTAGGAGTCATTCTTCCAGGCCTAAATTGGAAGGACTGCATGTATTTCTTGGCTAAAGACCTCTTCAATTTTTTACAAGGTTGTTTATCTTATTACTCTTGCATGCTAAGGATTCTTTTTACTTTTTTGGTGTTGTATCTAAGAAAGCTTTGCTACACTTTAGGACACTGATTGCTGATTTATTTAAAAGCAGGGTATAAGGGCCAGCTGGTAACATATCTTATTGGGACAGATGCCTGCTGCCAAGCTTGATGACCTAAGTTCAATTCCTGGGACTCACATGGTGGAAGGAAAGAACTGACACCCAGAAGTTGTTCTATGACCTCTGTGCCCATGCATACACAAACTAAATAAATTTTAAAGAGTACAAGGTGTAAATTTTCCCCTGTGAAGATAATGTAAATGTTTCCCCTCTATGACCTCTGTGCCCATGCATACACAAACTAAATAAATCCTAAGAAGTACAAGGTATAAGTTTCTCCTGTGAAGGTGATGTAAATATCTCTCTCCTCTCTCCAATTCCCAATAAGGGGAACACTTGTTCTCCATAAGCACTTGTTCTAAATCTTATGTCCCTCTTATTAGAATGATTTGAGACTTTTGTACATAAATTAATATAGGAGAAAGCTAGCTGAAAGCCAGCAAGCAAAGGACTAATGCATTTATTTTCTCTGCACATGACTGCAGACATGGTGCTTTCTGTTCCAGTCTTGACTTCCCTGTGCCCTTGTAAGCCAAATAACTCCCCCCCCTTTTTTTTTGGTCAGGGCATTTTCATCACAGCAACAGAAACGTAATGCAATACCCATGAGCAATGTGACTTAGATGTGTAGCTTCACCTCTCAGCCATTCATCCAGTCCTGCCTGTGTATTGAAAACCAATCTGCCAGGCACTGTACCAGGTGCCGAGGACACTGCTCCTGCCCTCAAGTTGCTCACGTGCAGTTGGCAGTGATGGTGAGGCAGCACTTAGACAATGCATTTCTGAGAAAATAAATACGAAGGGTAGCTTTTTCA